ATGAAGATACGTATCTTTGTATCAAAAAGTAGGGTGGCTTAGTTAATCAATAAAGGTAGATTCCAAAGATAACCCTAATTGGCATAATACAAATTTTCTTCCGTAACCGAATTTCGCTCATGCTTGTCCGGCCCTTGTCGTTTGGCTTGTGCAAAAGAATTTTTAATTTTAGTTAAAGTTTCTTGCAAAACCATCGGTTCAAGTTGCTTCTTAGACCACCCAATGAAGGCTAAATAATGTAAGGTTAACGACCATAAACTATCATATTGGGCAGCCACTTAAAGACAACTCGTAAGACTTTGATTATATATCACTTCTTCAAAATTAATTTTATCAAATTAGTGTTTCGATATATATATATATATATATCTGTGTGTGTGTGTCAATGATTAAAAATGTTTATTCGGAAAGTTTTACTTTTTGAAAAATAACTATCTAGTTCAAATTTAGATTAGTCTGAATAAAAATTTTGGATACAAAATGAGGGTGCATAATAGTAATATGTAGAATAAAGAAAACTTATCCCATTTATTTTCGTATTTAGTGATCCATCTCTAATGACGATGACTCGGAAAATATCAACTATATTGCTAGGGAATTGTTTGAAGATTTCCTTTCTGACTTGAATGAATCAAATAGGTATACGTACTTGTCATTAAAAACATAAAACGTGGGTGGGTTTCCTCAATTATGAATTCCGGACTGGAAATGATTATGAGGACTTTCCCATATTGTTCACCATAGTTGTCACGAAAGTGGTACGCAACTTGAGCGTTGGATGGATGCTCTCTAAAGAGTGGGAATTCACCGTACAAGATTTGAAGATGATAGCACAAATTTATGTAGGCTTCAATCAAGGGCCCCGAGTGACAAGTGTACAAATAAATGCACTTGTTTTTATTTAGCAAAGTTGCATCCTTTTTAAAATGTGATCATTTTTTTGAAAATGAAAGAAATCTAATTTTTAATTCATACGCCTTCTGTCCCATAATTATTATCCAGTTTGGATTTTCATTTTTAGTTCAAATTGTATTAAAAGTTAAATCTCAAACTGGACAATAATTTTGGGACAGAGAGAGTATTTATTATTTTCTCCAATGAAGTAGTTGTTATTATTTTAAATCAAACTAGATGCTTGGCCCAGGCAGATGCCCGGACGTCCCCTCTATTTTAATTTTGTGTTAATAGATAAATGAATTTTTGATTTGGAAAAAATAAAATAGCTACCCATTTATTTTTTTCCTTTTTAGCCAAAAATAAAAATAAAAATAAAAAATCATCTGCAAAAGAAGAAAAAATATTAAACAGTACACCGATGCAGAAATCATACAAAAGAATGTGGAGTAATAAAAGAGATAAATTTATGGACAAATTTAAATCCTATCTTAATTTGATTGATAAATGATAAGTGTTATGAGTTAAAATTGTGTAGCTATTTTTGTAAATTAGCTTTTATTTTTCCGGATAAGAAGTTTTTTTTTTCTTTTAAAAAGGGATGACACGTGGCAGAATGGTTAAAGCAATATGGTGCATTTGGAGCCAAATTTTTTTAATAAGAAGTTGCCATATCAACATCTTGTATTCTGCTTTAATAGGGTAAAAGGGATATAAAAACGAACAGTTACTAAAGATAATAAAAAATCCTTTTCTTTTAACCATTAGCCATCACTATTACACTAGAGGTAAGAAGAGAAACTGTTACAAAAATAATTAACAAGTACTGTTTGAACTATTTATTGTATCGAATACTACTGTATCCATCATGCCATGTAGAACTATCCGTTAAGTCATACGTTTAATCCAAAATTAACTTGTTTGCTCGTAATAAGAATCAAACCATGTACTTGATACTTTAAAAGTATCTAACCTGTTTCAAAAGGATAAAACTTATTAGTTAGGGATAGTACTGTTAGACGAAGACTTATTGCCTATTTAATGGAAAAATTGGTGTTCACACCCAAAACTTTGGGTTCATCATCAATTCTATCTTATTAATTTTCAGTTAACTAAATTTGTCTTTTACTGTTTGGAATTTTTGTCAATTCCACTTAATTGGCTCAATTTTCGTTAAACTTAATGGAGTTTCCGTCAGTTTTTAACCAAAAATACCTCGATAGTTTCAGAAAATTATAAAAATAATCTTAAAAATATATAAAAAAATAACAAAATAATCCCTTTTTATTCATTTTTTCCCATTTCATTTTATTTTTCTTTATTATTTTTCATAACTATCAAAACATACTATAAGATCATTAAAGAAAATAATTATTTATTTTCAAAATATATTTTTCATGTGCAACACATGTTATTTGGGTTGAGGGGTAATTTTATCATTTTAAAATTTTAATTTTGTTTTTTTATTCGTCTTTTTTTTTGAGATTCTTTTCTTATATTTCCTTACTTGTATATAATAATACTAGAATAATTATTAAATTTTAATAATTAATTTACCATTTGATTTCATAGATTATAAAAACTTTAACATAAAGAAAATGAGGAAGTAAAACTTAAGTTGAAATAAACATGAAAATTAATAGTTTATCATTCTAAAAAAAAAAAGGGCAAAAAAACCTTTAAAAAAACTACAAAGACAAGTCTTTTCTCCTTAATTTCCTCTATTTCATATGTAAGTTACGAAACATAAATTTTACTTGATCTAGTCTAAAATGATTATTTAGGCTAAATATTTTTATTACAATGAACTAAATAATTATTTTAGGCTAGATCAAGTAAAATATATGTTTCGTAACTCACCTATGAATTAGAGGAAGTCAAGGACGAAAGACTTCTCTTTGCAGATTTTTTTTGTTAAAAAAAGTTTTTTTCGTTTTTTGTTTAGAATGATAAACTATTAATTTTCATGTTTATTTCAATTTGATTTTTTCTTCCTCATTTTATTTATTTTAATTTTTTATGATAATTTTTTTATGATATGTGAAATAAAAAGGTAAATTAAATATTAAAATTTAATAATTATACTAGTATCAATATATAAAAATCAGGAATAGAAGAAAAATAATCTCAAAAAATACTGAATTAAAAAAATAACATTAAAATTTTTAAAAATTTAAAATAACAAAATCACCCCTCAACCCAAGTCACATGTGTTGCAAAAGAAAAATAATTTTGAAAATAAATAATTATTTTTTTAAAAGATCATCTATTATATTTTGATGGTTATGAAAAGTAATAAAGAGAAATAAAATGAAATAGAAAAAAATGAATACAAAATGACTATTTTGTTATTTTTATGTTTTACGGTTATTTTTATAATTTTTTGAAACTGTCGGGATATTTTTGGTTAAAAACTAACAAAAATCTGTTATGTTTAACAAAAATTGGACCAATTGGGTAAAATTAACAAAAATTTCTAACAATAAGGATAAAATTGACTAACCGAAAATTAATAGGATAGAATTGTGATGAGCCAAATTTTGGGTATAAACACCAATTTTTACCCTATTTAACTAACTCGTTGAAGGGTAGTCATCTTATTATCTACTGCTATATATTTTCGGGAGACTCGAACTTTCAATCTTATGATCAAAGTGTGTGAGGTAGAAACCACTGAACGACTCGATGTCTCAATCTCTTCTACTTATTTAGTAAGAGTTGATAGAATCTCTCTCTCTCTCTCTCTCTCTCTCTCAATGACACTCCTTTGGCTACCCCCGTTTAGTTTTGATGATGTAAAAAAGATGGGGTGGAAATGGCAATATAGAAAGAAGAATTAAAGATCATGATAAGGATGCATATCTATAGTTGCGGAGCTAGAAAATTAATATATAGGTGCAAAATTTCGAAGAAAACTTCTAATAGCTAGAAAATCAATATAGAAAGTACCAAAAATCATACATACATAGTTTTCTATTAAAAATTGAGGACACCTCTACTGAATACAAAAATCGGGCTGTATCTGTCGAGGTATACATCCGTGTACGTAACGTGTGTATGCTGTATGCATATTATGCAAAAAGACGATGCATGTGCGTGAGGTACATCATACATACATACATAACATGATACATGGCCGACCATGGAAACAGTTTGGGCATCGGGTACGCCCAGTACTATTTGCCACTCTCAATCAATTTTCCCTGAATACGTGGGGACCACGTTTCTTTTCTGAAATTGACGTAACGGTGAGACCTACCCCAATTTGAGAGGGGGGAGAAGATTTTCTGCTATACGACTCTTCTCTGTTTGTTTGCCTGCCCCCCAGCGTTATTTTAATGGTCCCTACCCTAAAAGCAAGATCAAAAAACAAACGGCATCGTGACCGATGATCTTGGGGAAAACACACACATAAAAGAAAAAGGAAAATTCAAAAAAAAGAAAAGGTTTTAGTTCTTATGTGATTATACTGGGGCGCCCCATTTATGGATCTCATGGGCCGTGTGAGAGTGTGTGATGGTGATGAATGATGATGGCAGTAGTCGATATCTCCATCATCATTTCACATCCGGGACTCCGGGCAGACAGCTGACCATTAACTACGAGATTTTATGGTTCTTTTTTCTGGGTTCAATATAATAAGTGACCATATAAACTGCTTTTTTCTTGTCCCAGATTCAAATTTCTTACTTTTTCCTCTCTCAATATTTTGGCATGTCTGCCGGATTTAGTTTACGGCGTACACGTTTATGTGTTGTTGCGAACTTCCAATTTGCATCACCGCCGACAGCGGCGGAGGATTCCAAATTGATACTCATGAGATTTTTAGAGTTAGGTACTGTGGATCTAATCTAGTGGTTAAAAAATAAAAAAAAAAACTGAAAAAATCAAAAATCTCTGGATCTAATTACCATTTGGACATATTCGTTAACTAATAATCTCTGGAAACTAGTAACTGAAAAAATCAATGCCTTTTGTTTGTTTTTAGTGTGTTAAAGAAACAAAAAAAAAAAAAAAAAAAAACCCACAGTCCCTTGTTTTCTGTTTTGTTCTTGCAGAAGATTTTTCCTCTTCATTTTAGTGCAGAGATTTTTTATTTTTTTTTTAAAAAAAAAACCAACTCTCAAACTTCATTAACCTTTTCATCAGGACCATAAAACTTGTAGTTCATTGGAATGCCTGACAGCCTGAGAGTCAAGGAATTTTTTTCTTTCAAGTGTTATCTTTCAAGCCCAAGCTTACAAACGGGGGTTTCATCACAACATTAATAATAATAATAATAATAATAATAATAATAATAGTAGTAATTACTATGAACTTGTGAAATTAATTTCTCTAGCTGGGTAAAGTTAATCACTAATGACATAGCATTTTGCCTTTTTTTTTTTTGGTTCTACCTTTCCATTGGGGCTACTTTAGTATAATACAAAAGCAGAGGGCCTAAAAATGAACAACCAAAAAATGAGCCTCCATTTTCACTTTTTTCTCCCTCATACTTTTTCTTTTCCCTGTCCGGAAAACCCCCCCTAATATATCCTAAAATTAATTTCTAACCCCCCAAAAAACTACAGAAACAGTTCAGACTGCAACAAAGTATAGTAATTGGCAGCGTCGTCCTCGAATTCCCACAACCCATCACCGAAATTAAAGAGATTTTCTCCGGAATTAGTCTCCTCATCGCCGCTCTCCGAAATACTAGGAAGCCCGAGCTCGTCGTCCGAGGCTTCCAGAAGGTGTCTCATCACACTGATTCTGGATTCCTCCTCCCCATCTTCTTCAACATCCCTGGAGTAAGGACTGGAAGATTCCGACACGGCGGCGCCGCCACCACTCTGGTGGTCGGCCTCCTCCAGTGAAGGGTCGGCGGCGCCGGAGCTAGAATCAGAGGAGATCTCCTCTTGGAGGGTTTTAAACATGTCAGAGAAATCTTGGTTAGTGACTTCCTCCTCTTCTTCGAGAATGGAAAGAATTTGGTTGTAGGATTGCTTATGGCGCTTCGAATTCTCGTCACATTCAAAGGGGGCATCTTCCCTCTGACGTTTCAATTGGGATTCAGCCATTTTTCCCTCTGTGTTTTTTGCAAAGAGATAGACAAAAAAGAAGGAAAGTGAGAGATTTAAGAGAGGGAAAGTGAATACAGAATACAGAACGGAGAAATTGGGATGAAGAGAGAGAAGGGAGGTGGAAAGGCTTAAATAGAAGAGGAGAATAAGGGGAGTTATGGTCAAAATGTGTGATAATGAGAAAGTAAGAATATTTAAATTGCAAATATTTTTTTTAAAAAAAAGTTTTATTGAGATTGGGGAACATAGTCATAGTCCCATATCTTTAGCAGATCAGGATACTTTTTTCTTAGGAAAAAGCAATGTAAAAGTTAAAGACTTGGCCCTTTCTTTCTTCTCTCTTAATTTAATTATTATTTAACCTTTGTTTCACGAGTTAGTGTGTGTGTGTGTGTGTGTGGGCGTGGGTTGTGCTTTGCTTGCCTTGATTTAGGTCGGATGTCAGATTTATTCTTTAAGGTAGAAAAGAAAAAATTGGGCAAGTCTTTTGAGGAATATCAACCATTGAATTGAATAAATTAAAGGGGATATGTTGATGATAGAGTGGACAATGGACAATTCCATTATTTAAACAAAAGTAAATGATACAATGACGAGGAAACTGGGATGCTTATATTAATGTAGAGCAGGACCGACACTTCTTCTATAATTTCTTAAATACTTCTTCTTTTCTTTTTTTCTAAAGCAATCCTATGGGTTATTTTTTTCACCGAAATTAATCCTTTCAAGTAAATGTATAGACAGATAGTATTTCGTCTAACAACTGAGCACGGTGTGCAGAACATGTAATTGCTTTATAGTTAGGTAGGGCAGGAATGCCAAATTGGTGTATAATTGTAACTTAACTATCTCACTTAGGGTTTGTTTGTTTTCTTTTTTTTTGATTTTTTCAAAATTTAAAATTAATAATTGTCCCATCTCAGTATACTTGTTTACATTTCTAATACACCTTTTTACATTCCCAATACAAAAAACACATAAAAACACACACTAAAAAAAGGAAACAAACAGACCCTTAACCGTTTCAAAAAAAAAAAAAAACTATCACACTTAATATACGCAAAAAATCAAAATATATGTAATAGACTAATCAGTGCTATATCTTAAATATATATATATATATATATTTAAAGCATTCTCCGAAAAATCTAAATTTGAGTTGGGTAATTTTCTTTTAATAAATATATATCTCCCAAAGAACATTGTGATCGTTGAATCAAGGTTTTTTTTCCTAATCGTAATTATGTCGTTATAGAAATTGTAGCACTTGAATCAAATGGTACGTGTACGTATATTTCGTGGAGTATAAACTAATTATAAACTACGGGAGCTTTTCATTGATTTATGTTTGTTTGGTAATGACAGGTGCAGGTGCGGCCTCAAGAATCGAGCCGGAGGAGAAAGCTGGCTGGACGGTTTTTGTACACAACCCTCGTGCTGACCATACGTACGGGAGCTGGGGATGGATGGAGTCCGATGTGGGAATGTGCATTAACAATGAGCTGGGTCTGGATTCATTTGTCTCTAACTTTGAATACAGTTCTTTTATTAAATTCTGGATTTTTACTCCCCCAACTTGATTTCCCTTACACGTGCTTCCACATCGTGCAACCGAATACTATAATGTTTTTTGTAGTACTACAGTTTATAATAACTCCGTATAGAAACTAGTACAAGGGAAGATGATGCACTTAGTTGGAACATTATTTTCTGGGGAAGGTTAACTGAACCCAGACCACTACGTATTCAAATTTGTCATATACAGTTAATTGATTAATTTAATCGATTTTGGTCTGATCAGGTTTCATAATTTGCTTGTGTGCCACAACAATCAATAATAATTGTATAGAGGCCACGATACACGATGTGTGAGTTTGGGTTTGAGCTTTTAGGTTGAATTGAATCTAAACGGTTGGACCATAACAACAATAGAGAGAGAGAAATGGAATGTTTGACCCTACATCATTTCGAGTATTTTATCTTCTTCTGAATTATTATTCAGTTTAAATTTTCACTTTTAATACAGTTTGAATTCAAAATTTTTTTAAATGACTTTGTGAAGTTTTTCGTTCAACTAAATATAATAATTTAGTATTTTAACATTTTCGATTACTACAAGTATTCGTATATATATTCATTCGGTATTTAAGTAATGCCACAAGTTTGAACATTATCTCTGTTAAGGGAATACAAAAATATTTCCTTGCCTCCGCCTATATAGTACTTTGGAGTAGTATATACATCATCTCTACTTTGGAGTTCTAAATTAATTTTCAAATATACGAAAAAAGAAAACTACGGAGCGTAGATTATCAGTATTAATTATTATCTGGAGGTTCAAATTGTAAACCCATGAAACTGTTGTGGCAGGTAAATGAGTGGCCAAGATGGGGTGATATGAAGTCTAGATGTACGGCCAGAGATGAAGGACGGATATAGAATCCTAGGGATGGAGATTCCTAAACCTAGGGAAGCGAGCAGAGAAAAGAAACCACACACTGAATGAGAATAATTTTGATTGGTAAGGAGGGAGATAGTGAGACAAGATTCAAGATTGGGAGATGGCAATCAGATTTTTTTTCTTTTCTTTTGGGTGGAAATGATCCATCAATTTCCTTAAAAATCCTAATAATGTCTGAATTTCACTTTAAAGATGGAGTAACTTTAAATATTACTACATTCATTTCAAAATAACATATTGATTCGTACAAGGAAAAAATGACACGGAGTTGATCCTAATCATTTATTTTTAACACTTTCCATTTGAGGTTTAAGTATTTAAGATTAGGGCATGGTTTAAATGATTGACAACTCATTACACTTATAAGTTTTTCTTGTAAATTTTCCATGTACGTATCATTACTCTTTAAGGTTAGGGCATAGTTTAGATGATTGATAACTCATTCATCGTAAGCTAAGAAGGCAACTATTTAACAATTATTTATTAATTATTTTGGAACTATAACCAAGACTAGAAGAGAAGTGATTAATATTATTTATTAGGGACAAAGTTGAGAATTTTATCAGTAATTTGCCTTGAAATCCTAAAATGACTTATATTTTGAAATATTTCTCTAAATCTAAAACGACCTATATTTTGAAATGGAAGGAGTAGCGTGCATACTACTTACTTCAAAAATTAATCACTTGAGATAGTAGAATACGCTTTGTTTTCTTTTTACATTTTGTATGTTTCTAAAAAGAAATAATCTACTTTATTATATTGAATTTTTTTATGGAAGGAAGGAAATATTTGAATAAAGAAAATTGGGAGATGGAATCGACGACGGGATGATGTCGATATGTGGTAATTGTAATAAGGACGTACTATCTGTCCAGTCTTACAGTGTCCGGTCTTGTGGTAATTGTGTCGACCATTCTTTGGTCCATTCTTCTTCACCCCCCATTGCTGCTTTCAAATCCAATCCTAGATATTCTGGTTCCTTCGGGCTCTACATTTCAGCAGTTTCAGGCTTTTTTTTTGAAAAAAAAATTATCCCCATTCTTTTTGATAAAGTAAATCAGGTAGATTGAATTATATTTGTGACAATACGTAGAAAGGGGAAATGCAGTCTTAAATTAAACTATGTAGAAGGGGAACTCTCGTATCGAGATAATCAAGTGAAATTATTACTATCTAGTTATCTTTTATTGTTCTATTGTATTGTGTTACTATTTAAATAATCCGATCAACCGTGCAATCATAGAGTATAATAAAAAATGATGTACTAGTAGTAGTACACTACGCAGTAATGTGTCTTTAGACCAACTGATTCTTAAATTAAAAGAGGTGCCTGGTTAATGGTATCGGAATCTGCAATGATTTGTCCACATGAAACTTATAGTAACTGTCATCTTATTCCCCAAAAATTGAAAAATTCTTGATTCTAATGCAACATCGATTAGCATTGAATTGATTCCTTTGACTCCATTGATGCTCTCATTATAAGAATTTAATCACACCACAACATGTTGAGACTTGAGAGCGGAGACAAAGAAAAAACCACCATTATTAATGGAATCGAGATTTTTAGATCGCATAAACAGTTCTTTTTTTATTCTTACATTGGCATCATTGAGCAGCAAACCAATCAACTGGAAAAGGCCAGCCTAATTAATCAAATTGGACATAACAAAAAGGACTTCATTTGGTTGCCCATTTAAACTGGAAATATTTTATCTTAAATATTCATAAATGTAGATAACTCAAAAAAGAAATGTACTACAAAACTAATTGTTATAAATTCTTTTCAAGTACATATATACATGTTGTTAGCGAATTATAACCATAATAATTTTTTTTATGAACAAATTTAAAATACTTTTGTTAATTACGAAAAAAACAAAATGATCACGACCCCGCGAATTATAACTAGTCCATGCAGTTAGTTTTGACTACGTTTAGATAATTAAATTTCCTAATATTCTCAAATTAATTAGATTTTGGACCAGAGGGAGAAATATTCAGCTTTTGCGACCTGTATAGTACTAATCAAGCTTTTATTTACAACAAGTGTTGAAATACGTTCACAAAACAAAGAGAACTCATTTGTTGTTCTACTACTAACTTCCTTCTTTTTTTGGGGTTCAGCCTCTTTTAAGCGTTTACTTGACTTTAATTAAGGTTTTGGAGTATTCTAGGTGGAGTCATTAATTAATTGTTCTACTGCAAAAACAAAACAAAATGGTCGGGACCGTTAATTAAATTAATCATAATCTGCAGTAATGACTTAAATGTATAGGTATTCCCATCTTCACACCGAAGATTTAAAAGAATACTAATTGCCCAGCTTTCAAAGCCTTCAAAAGTTTGACTAAAACACAATCAAAGAACCAACACTTTAACTAACCATAGTTTAAGGATGAATAGATCTCAAATTCCGGCCTTAATTAATACCATGATTAAATGCTTACGAATAACATCAATTAAACAAATCGATTACGGGAGATCTAGATCCGCGATCTCTATATGATTAAGTAATGTTCATAATCGAACGTCTAGTTGGACTTGTTTCCTTTGAATCAGTTTGTTGCTGACCCCATCGATCTCTTTCTTTTCTTAACTTTTAGTATTCGTTGCTTTGCTTATAAATCAATAATATATTTATAAGTAATCATACACAAACTGCTCCAAATTATCTTTAAACATTTGCCAATATTTGCGTCATGCGTCCTTCAATTATTGTTACGTTTCGTACAGAGCGCTTTATTTTGATGAGCCTTTACAAAATACTCCCTCCGGTTCTTATTATAAGGCATTTTGATTTCGTCATAGGTTTGACCTAGGATGTCTTTTTAATTAAAGAAAATTTTTTAAAATATAATTTTACATTCGTTGTGTTCTCTTAATTATTATAAAATATTTTTAAAAATTTTTATTCTAATTAAAAAGACATTCTAAGTTAAACCTAAGACAAAATGAAAATACGTTATAATAAGGACCAGAGAGAGTACTTAGTAGACTGTAGACGGACAAAAAGACTCTAGTGCAAAAAATTAGTAAGAGTTTCCTTCGGCTTATAATTAGTAAGAGTTTTGTTTGTCAGAGTTTTTTTTTTTTT